CACACACACACACACACACACACACACACACACACACACTTGAACACACACACACACTTGAAAACACACACACACACACACACACACACACAGGAGCGCCTGCAGGCGGCCCTCACCCTCTACGAGCTGCTCAAGGGCCGCAACCTGTCAGAGCTGGAGCGCCTCAACCTCGAGAGGGCCGACGGCTTCACGGCGGCGCTGCGCAAGTTCTCGGGGGTCCAGGCGCAGCTGGCGGCCGCCGTCGCCGATGCCTGGAGCACGGCTGCCTGAGCCTGAAGATCTGATTGTCGGCGGCGGCAGCGGTGGCCAATGAGGCCGACGCACCGCCGCCTGATTTGAGATTGAAGTAGTGGGGGTGTGCGCCCCTGAGAGGGGCCGGGGGCTTTAAAAGGCGATACAGGGATGTCAAAACCCCATAAAGCTCCCCCTTCGGCGCCCGCTCTGCTCGAGAGTGCCGGACAAGTTTCGAGATTGCGTATACTGTATCCACAACACTGGGGACGAAGCACTACGCCCGCTGTGGGCAAAGCACGATAGATGCGCCCGCCTGCTCTGGGCTCATCACCTTCCACATGCACTGTCAAGTATGTGGGGCTGCCGGGGCAGCCGCTTTGGTGGATACAGGACGGGTCATTGAGGCGCTGATGTGCTCAGCACCCGCATTTCCCATAGTCATTCCTGTTCAGCACTGTGCGATCGTTTACAAGTACTGCCCTGCACAGGCGGCCAGCTAGCCGCGCGAGCGGCCGCAGCATCTCGAGCGGTTTTCAACGAGAGCTATGGCGCGGCTGATTATGTCAGCCATGCCGCATGGCGCACGCGCGAAGCATCCATATCTGAAGCACTCCTGTGAGTTGGCGGACCCTCGGCAGCAGCCGTGCCTCTGCCCCGACGCCCCGGTCCCGCGTGCTCGAGTGCATGACAAGTCTCGGCCGCCGGCTGCGGCCTCCCGAGTACCCGTCAACGCGCGTTTTGCGTGAGCGTCCACCAGCACTCAGTACTGTGGTACCGCCCCCAATTACGGCACCTGCTGCCGCCGCCAGTGGCCAACGCCACCCTGCGAAGTTGCGCAGTGGAACCCGCGGGATCAAACCCTCCCCACCCCGAAAAAACCCCAAGCGCACTTGCTGGTGCCAGTCGCCGAGGGTGGGCTCTCTGATGGTTTCGGGGTTTTATGGCGACGACCCGCGCCCTGCTCTGTATATACAGCTCTACACCACCTGTGCAGCCCGCTGCTTTGGGCTCCGGCCTGAACAATCCTGAAGGGCACGGGCCCCCCCCTTGAGGGGCTAAAATTCGGTTGCGCGCATTGGCTGCGGCTCGCATTGGCTGCGGCTCGTACGCACGCTTTGGGGTTTCACGCGAGCCGACGCACCGGCATTTTCAGGTGCAGCGTGCCCTCGCACCCGCCACCCACAGGCAGCACTTGCCAGCTTATACGTTCCCATATCTACGACAAATTATGATAGGTGAAAAGGGGCACTCCATGCCTCGGCTACTAGCGTCTCGCACACTTCCCGCACACCTACATATCACGCCCCCTTTTTAAGCAGCCTCTTCGCACGGCTGCCTGTCACCCACCTTCCCCCTCCCTGCATAGTCCACGTCCTCCCATGCCGTCGGCACCCGTTGGCCGGCGGCGACCTGCCGTTCCTTGGCAGGTTGGGCCCCATCCGACTCGAGAGACTGCGGCTTATTCCCGCAGCCTCTCACCTCATCCCGCCGCGCCGGGTCCGCCCACACGCCACGGCACGCCTCTCTGGGCGCCGCCGCCATGCAGCCTCGCAACCACCTCTTCACGGATTCTCTACGGCTTGCATCTGCACCGGACTTCTGAAAACGCATTTTCGTTTGCGTGGGCCGCATTCCACCACACATGGTGATGGCGCAAGGTCGCGCAGTTCTGTACGCAGCGCACTGGCTGCCTTGAATCCTCGTATGCACCGCTGCGGCTGCTAACGTCGATTGTACTTGTGTAAGGGCAGCCTTTCCGAATCGGCCAGGAAGCATGAGCGACGGGCGACCGAAAATGCAGTGGTGCCAGTTGGAAGATGCGGCACAGGGGCATTACAAAGCATTACGGGTCCACGATCAACCGGGCAACCACCTCATCTTGTCTGGAGTCCCTTCTTGCGCGCACGCATCATGCGTGCATGATGCGCGCACACACACATACACCACACACACACACACACACACACACACACACACACACACACACACATACACACACACACACACACATGTGCGTGCACGCACCATTCGTTGCCGCCGAGGTGAGGGGTGCGGAGGTTGCTCAGGGGAAAGCAGCAGCGCCAATGCAAGGCGTGTCAATGTGCTCTGCCGCTTGGGCGAGCCTGAGCTTGTCAGTGGGGCTATGCATTCGCGTCCCATTGCGCCTTATGACACTGAGTCGACAAGTAGACGTGCGACACGTCGCAAGCTTTGTTTGGGTCTGCCTGCATGGGCTGATTGCTGTGGGTTAGTGTTGCGTGCGTCTACTTGGCTTGGTGTAGTGTTGGATGCTGGCCGCTGCACCCTTTATAAATGAGACCTACCGTGCAACTTGTGCTGCATGTCGCAAGCCTTGACTGCAGCAGCACGTACAGTGATCACGCACCATGGGCGGTGTGCGCGGGAGGGTGTGCACTGTGCAGGTGTACGCACCCAGCGTATGCTTCCCACCCCCTGCCACACCTCGATTATCACGACCCTGGCTCACATTACTGCAGGCTGCAAAAACCCTGCGCGTGGGGCAGTGAAGAGGGCCGCAGGATGCCACGAGTGCCAGCGCAGGGAATGCTCTCGCTCGCGCTGGCGGTGAGGGGGGAACATATGCACCAATCAACGCACATCCTCACAAACCTCACATGGCAAGCCCCTACTGCTGCTGCCCCTGCGACTGCCGCCCCGACTACTGCAGCCCCTACAAAACACAGTCCCTAACACTCTATCCACTCTTCTCCCCTACAACAGACGCCAGCACAACAGGTCACCGCCACCCGACTGCCGTGGCTGACTGCCGTGGCGCGGCTGAAAATGAAACGTGCGTGCATTGGAACCTACTCCGCTGCCGCAAAGCACCCGAAGCACAAATCAAAGCCTGAAAACTATGACCGTCACCAGTCCACGTCCTGCTCCGACACAAGCTTCTTCAACCTCCTCCGCTGGATCCTCGACCCGTGCCGCAGCGGGGGCCGCGGCGCCGGGTACCGCGCGGCCGCGCGCTCGGTCGGGTTGCTCGGCAGCGTGTCCGACCGATCATCTTCCACGTCCATCACGGCCAGCCACTCCCAGGGGTCTCCCAGCCGCGCCGCGCGCAGCGCCATCGGCTCGCCCCC